GAGTCTTCAAACTCATTGTCATATCTCAACAAAAATATAACACAAATCAGAAATAAAAAACATTGCCGCCTCTTATTTTCATAACTAATTGCCTTTGCAGAGGAAATCATTCATATATACATGGCTACAAAACCACACATGTGAAAAATCTCTTCTGGAAAATAAATTTCTTAAAAAAATAAATAAATCAGTTTTCTACCCCAATTTGCAGGTCAGGCTTATAACATAATTTGTTTTTTTTGTCAAATCATAATTTTTTTATAATAAGCTAATAAATATGTATATTTATGTTAATATGTTACACTAAACAAAATGCTAATTTTTTAATCATCATCAAAAGTAATGATGTAGCGAAGAAAGATTAGAGCAAGTATTTGTTTGTTCTTACATTTCCCCAATGATGTAATGGTAAAATCTTATATTTTGCCAAAGAATCAATAATTTGTTTTTTTCTATCTATTGAAGGATCGATGATAGATCAACCAAAGAAAAAAAAGATAATAAGATTCCTGGACGAAGACAAAAATAGTAAAGAAAAGAGATAAAATATTAGTATAAGGTAAGGACAAATGAGTATGGTCGAATGAAATCTCTCAAACTCCAAGAATTACCGTGCAACAAATATTTTTTTAAATACTTTTCACCCGTAATGTATTTTTGTAAATTTGAAAGAAAAAGTGTATTTTCAATATGTTTTATAGGATGATATATTTGAAAGTCGGGAAAATATAATCTGTAAGACTATTATAACAGTCTGCTATAATATACGAAAACTTTATTGACATGATCAAAACATAAAATATATAGCATAATGATTTGAATTAGTATATCGTCAACTTTGATGATATGTTGCTCCGATGGCATTTTAACAGCATTTAACTACGGTTAAACTTTTAAAGGTAAAAAACATAAACATATGACTGAAAGAGTTACACTATAAATTCTGAATTATTCTCTGAATAAGGATTACCTGTCGTCTAACTCTAGTTCTTGTTCTATCCTATTCTCACCTACAAAAACGCAAAGAAGATAATATATAAATCAGATTATCTATATATAAAATGAAGAAACTGAAATTTTCCCGATAAAAAAAGAAAACTTTGAATTCTGTTATGAGAGTTGTCAATTGGCATAGCAAACAAAAAACGGCCAGAAAGATATGTTCCCAATGGCAAGAAAACAGAAGTCATATAATGAAACAGAAATCTCCAATTAAAACTTTAGCTACTTTATCGTAGCCAATTATATACGTTGATTTCCTCAATTTCCTTTTCATTTCTTTCTGCCTTTTTAAAATTACATTTTTAATAAGACCGAAGTGAGGCGTACAATATTCTCATGCTTATATTAAATTGATATACCCCAATCTAATTAATAATGCGTTTTAAGATAAATGGATTATTCTAAATCATGTAAACAGTTTTGAACGAGAAAATCATCTTAATATTATTGACTTATCATTGTAACATCCGACTATGACCGTATATGAATGGCTCCACATCCGGCATTGTACACTATTTCTTAAAAAAAAATCGAAAGACTTGTCGACTATAAATG